CAGCAGGAAGACCAAGAATTAAGTGCCTGTAAACAACAGAGTCAAATCTCCAAAGAAAAAACAAAACAACAAAACCAAGAAACACTGAACAACAGTGTATCTGACAGACTGCAGTGATTCTTCATAAATAAAAATAAATAAGCATGACTGAAAACCATGGAGACTTTAGGTCAGAGGTTTAAATAATCCTACCTTAGGGCTATTAATTCAGACATTAAACATTGATTCTCCTTAAACATTTGTTCCTCATGTTTCTTGTTTTGAATTTGAAGCTCTTTCATTTGTTTGTATAACTTCTCATTTTCCTAAGATGAGACAGGCAAAGAACGTTAATAAATTATCCTTTTACCTGTTCAAAAAGCATTGTCTGTGATTTCTACTTTTACCCATTCAAACACCATTCTCTGTGATTTCTGCAGTTTGCCTTCTGAAACACTGCAGCAGTGGAAGCAAATACTAAATGTTTTATTACCACATTTCTAAAACGGGCATCTACTTTCATTGGCTTTTTCCTGAAGTATTATATAGTGACCTCTGCAATCTAGTCTGAGCGTCTGCCCACTGTGGTGCTAAGACTTAGTAACGAGAAGAAGTTGTTCTTCTAGGCCAGCTCCTCTGCAAAGCTATCTAACTATATTCTAAAAGCACGAACATGAATGGGTGCAAACTGACTGCAGCTCAGCTTGCCCATGCTCCACTCCTGTGGACAAAAAGCATCACTGATTTGGGAGCTGCGCAGCCGTACTGCAAGATATTGTGCCTCTACTACTGAGGGCTGCTGAGCACCACCCGGAAAGCTGGTTAAACTAACCAATCTTATTTTGTGGCCACAAGTATTCAAAAGGGTCATTTAACCTTGCATTGTCTATTTCTATATTTAACTGAATGAGTAATGCATTAGGCATACTGATATGGTTCCTTGCAACCAACTGCTCACACTACGTGAAATACATCTTAAAAATGGAACCATAATTATCATATTGCTAAGAAATACTACAGTTTTCTACTACATTTTGGACAAAAAGGTTTTGGTTCTTTATTGCCATAAAGTATCTTCCCTGTTGTTAAATGAAAAGTCACCTTATTTTTACAGTTTAGGACATCTATATGTAATTGCAGGAAAAATTACCCCAAACAAGGCAAGTGTTAAAATATTTCTCAAACGTGCAGTATATTTGTGCCCTTTGTACTTAAACTTCTTCCACTCCGTAAATAAGGTAACTGCTTTCAGCAGAAAAGTAGTAACCATTGATAAATTCTGTTTTTGAAACTGGCTAGAGCATGGCACAAAACAGCACACCTGTTGATAACCCTGAATAATGACCTCTTGATCTTCAATTTCTTTTTTTATTTGTGTCAATTTTTCTTCACCGATAGGAACAGTTGCTGTATCATGGATCCAACTCTTTCCTTTAGTCAGCTCTTCCAGGGTTCTTAACTTTTGGAAAGAAATATACACACAGTTAATAAGAAAGTTTTATTACCAATATGGAATTCTCTATAAGATTATACTTTAAATTCAGAGTGTGTTATAAATAACCCAATATACATTAAGGCATGAGCCAATAATAATGTTGGCTCTTTGTTCTGCTTTCATGCAAAACAGGAACACAGTATAGTAAGGCTGGGAAAAATTAACAATAAAATTATACTTTCTTTCCAATTCTCATGTATCTAGACAGGAAGGTATACTGGAATAACCCTGGGAATACAATTATGTTATATAGTTAAAATACAACATAGAAAAATGCATCAAAATAACAAACTCAGTGTATAGAGAGAGATATGTATATAGATCTATACTGAATGTGTAGAGATATAGATATAATATATTGTGTATAGATATAGATACTCTACTCTCTCTAACAAGTGGTATCCCTTAAACTGCTATTCATTTTTCACATTAAAAATGCATTAAATCTTTGCAAAAAGTCTGCTACAGAACCCTCAAAATAGCAAAACAGGAGAATCTGGGATAATATAGTTATCTCTGTAGAAAAAAGATCATGTCTTAAGGGCAATAAATGTAATAGTTGGTACACACACATATATTTACATATCTGTTGCTAGTTTATATTTTCTTCTCATTAACGACTCATTTAAAACAACTAATTGAGTTTTCTGGACCAATGCTTCTCCAGTTTAACAGGACTAGAAGACAAGACAACAGAGCACCTTACTCTGACAGAGCACCTTACTCTGACAGAGCACCTTACTCTGACAGAGCACCTTACTCTGACAGAGCACCTTACTCTGACAGAGCACCTTACTCTGAAGAACATAATTTTCTTGACCCAGCTGACAGCGCTCTTTTTCATGCTGTGTTTTCAATTCCATTATCTTTGTCTCCATTTCTTGCTCCTTTTGTGAAACTGTGCTGGTTAGCTGTTGAATCAAATCATGAGCCGTATTCAGCTCTTCCTCTGCAACTTGTGCTCGCCTTAGCAAATACAGTTCTCTCTCACAACTTTTGATAGGAGAAAATGGTAAGTCCTGGTAAAGAGAAATTCAGGGAAACATTACACTCAGCCAAATGTTTACTGAGGATTCCTCCCCCTCCTCCCAATCAGTTTTATTTAACTGTCTTGTCCGACTCTTGGCAACTACATAACGTGCATGGAGGGCGGGGGGAGAGACACACCAAAACCAAAACAAAAAACATCTCCCTCATCATTCTAATAGCAAAACATCTTGCATGGTTTTTCCTGTAATGAGCTACTTTCTCATTTCCTAAATATGTAAAGGGGAAAAAACCAAAAACAAATAACAAGAAATAAACACCCCTTGGAGGCGATAGCCACTACACAGCTACCAGAGTTATTCTACTAAAGATAATGCCTACTGAAAAGCAGCAGTGATCTAGGGATTCATTAAATAAATTTTAAAACTTAAGTTTTTAAAACTTGTAAGGCAGAAGAAAAATCCATCACAGTATTGCAAATTCAGTCCTCTTGGAGGAGTCAGAAGATATTATTAACCATTCAATGCAACAGAAGCAGAATAAACAAATGTAAGTACTATTTAACATTCTTGACATAATACTTTTACTTACAAGTTTCATTTAAAAGTATGCCAATCTCTATAAGAAGATGATAATTTTTAAGAAGTTAAACAAGCATTACGATTGTAACTGCACAGAACCAATGTAATTGACTTGGCCAAGCAGCTAAAAAGCAGTATGATTATACTTGCACATTTTAAAAACAAAAATCAGTATCTGATTAAAGGAAAGTCTTTACGCAGTATTTCAGCATTTGCCAATCTTGCGATAATTAGACATTATTAAAAGATCTTGACAAAACAGGTTTGTAAACCAAGTTCTACGTACTATAACTAGGAACAACACTAATTACTACTTACATGCTGATACTGCCTGCAAGAGTCCACAACCTGCTGCGCATGTTTACTAATAACTGATTCGCCAGACATAACTTTGTTAATGCCCTCCTTCAGAGTCGGTTCATTTGTTGCAGATTTTATAATCCTAGTAGCACATAAGCCTTCTTCGTTTAGGCACAAAGTGAAATAGAAAAAAAATCATATTCAGAATGGCTTTTTATAACGTCCTTGTAAAAATATATTTGCACGACCCATCCCCATGATCCCCCCTTGAGCGTGCAACTGAAAAATATTCTACAGCCAGGATTTTGAATTAAGTATAGAAACTTGAGAGCAATGAGATGTCATGAAAAACACAGCAGCCATCAGTTACTTACTAAAAAATAAAAGAAAAACAAATAAAAAAAAAGATACAACCAAAACTGAAGTGAGAAGACGGAAAATAAATCCTTCATGAAACAAGATTAGTCAGCTGTCTGCTCTAAGAATGCCCAACTATCTAAGCATACACAGATACAACATATTCCAACCTATGGTGAAGATCAGACACAGCAATTTCTGAAATGGACCTTGCAGTGGAGATGGAACATCTATTCGTTTCCAGTCAAGTTGCTACTTGACGCACATAAAAAAAAAAAACTGAGGAAGTTCACCCCAGAGAGCAACTAACATACATGCAACTATTTATAGCTTAGTCTTCTGAAATACGGATACCAATTACAACTGCCATTTCACTTCTGCCTGGAACAACATGAGCTAAGAGTTCCTGCTTAGGAATGCCATACTCAAAAACCAACCAGGCAAATGACCGTTTTCCAAATGTAATAATACGTTTTATATTTCTTACACTATCACCTCACAAAGGTGATCCCTTAATACTGCCAGTTAGGAAATCAGTTGTTTGTTTCAATCCTATTCCCTTGCTAGCTCCAGGAGCAGTGGTGCCCCTGCAGAATGCATCCTGGGGAGATTAATTTCTGAAGGCCCCTGAAATTAGTAGAGAGAATAGTTACAGCTAGAGAGGGATGAACAAGTCCGAGTGAGGCTACTGGCTGCACTTTCTCAGGGCTTGTCCTTCGCTTCTGCCTGCGGCACTTCCTCCTGCCTATACAACCTGCTCTTCTCCAAACAGCTCCACTACAACATGCTAAGGAACGAAGGTCTCCTAGTTTGACACCTGCCACTCTGAAGCATCTCCCTTGGAGAGGCATATCATCCTAAAGCGGTTTTCTCAACACTGCTCACAAGGCTTTTAAAAGCATTTCATGATATTGAAATGTGCTAAAACCTGGGCACCCGGAGAGAGATTTTTCCCAAGCCTCAGAGGGTTAAGTAAACACCATTCGTGAATATGCGGAACTGAGTTATTAGATACAACTCTTAAGGCAACAGGTCAGTAACCAAAAATAAAAAGATTCAGTCATTCGCTTGCAATTCACTTTTCACAAGGCTACATTGGTAATTTCCTTTCTTACTGTTACAACAACAGACATGAACATAAAGCATTTTTTAATGCTTTCTTTATATTCTAGGAAAACAGAAAAGGAAGAAGAGGCTGAGAAGAGGAATTACAGCATCATATAGAAGCGTTAGCAATCTTTGCTTTTACTAGCATGAAAAATGTAATGTGTAGAAACTTATTCCTGAACAACAGCTTTTCCTATTGTTCCGGTCCTACTGGTGAACGGTAGGAAAGTCTCTCATGCGGTGGCTAGACTGCAAATCTTGCTTTACCTGCTGGACTTTTGGCTTTCACATCGATCTTTTTGAAAGTTTCTCTCAGTGTTTTCTTTTCACTAGCTGGAAAAGACTGTTTGGAAAGTGAACTGGACTTCCCATATCCAGAACTCCTAACCAATCCATGAGGACCATGTGAAGATTTCTTTTTATGCAAAGGTGCTGTACTTGGGATATTCTTGTACAACATTTGTTTAGTTGTCACTGATTCTAGTCTTTCATTCTTCAAGGAATGAGACTGAAGTGCCTGCAACAAAGCATACTTTTTAAAAAACAAATTTAGTTTTTGGTGTGGTCTGAATGTAACTTTCACTAACAAAACAGAATATAGAACCAGTTACTAGGATTACACAACAGTAAGACTCCGGAGCAGCAGAAAAAGCACGAGGACAAAATTCATTTTTAATCAAACGAACAGTAAGTTATTTTGCAGAACTTTTTACCCTTTCCTACTTCAGGAGTAGGCATAACACAAACCAATACAAAATACTTGTTCAAACGTTCCGGGAAGTGGCAATCTACTACAGGATCATTAGCTGTCAGGTTATGTGACTAATCACAGTGAATACAGAGACACAGCAAGGATCAGAGGAACAGCGAGAGGCAGAGGACACCTCTTAACCTGGATCAGTGAAAACAGTGCACACAGCTCTTAAGACCATCAAAGGAGAAGGCTTAGCCTGCTGTCCCTGGTGACAAAGCCACTGCGATGAGTCAGCCAAATAAGCGTTCTCCCTGCAACGCTTTGCAAACTGAAGGGGTGATCGCCTAAAGCTGCGTGGGGCTTACGAAATTCAGGGGGAAGAGAATTTGGGGACTGTGCAAGCCTGCTTATGGGATGCTTCGAGGGGACTGTGAGAATGTGCAAAACTTATGGGACGGTTAGGGAAAGGGAGGGACTAAAAGGTTGATCAGGGAGAAACAACTGTGGGGAAACTAAAGGAAAAAGGGGATAAAAGAAGCTGTTCACATGTAAAGAGGCTGCTGGTCAGTACGCTTACCTGGCTGAGGCCTACCCTTGATCACTGCAGTCTATCCTGTATTCCTACTGAACTCCACTGCCAGCTATCCTCTATGGGTGTGTACTCTCCATTCTGAGCCTCTGTATGTTCACACGAGCCCCCTATACTCTGTTTGGGGGGCCTGTGCGTGTTCACAGAAGCTTCCCTCCTCGCATGGGAATACATACTCAGCCTTGCTACCTTAGCCTGAGTCGAGGAGACAGAGCAGCATCAGCCTCGGCTGTACTGGGCTGGGGCAGGATGAATCCCTTTGGTCCCAAATTCCACTGGATTTGGCTACCTCTAACAGCAGCAAAGGTAACTTGAGGGTTTTTAAGAAAAATACAGTTTCTCAACTCCTGAGCCTAGGAGTGTAATCCGCAAACGATAGGTGCTCTGAAAAACGTATTTTAAATATGTTTCCATACAATAAAAATCTGTTTGACGCTATTTACCTGATTGTTTTTGTTGTCCTGTTGTGAAAGCAGAGAGTCCTGTGCTCTCTTTTCTCTCAGCGAGCCAGGCTGTATTTCATCGGTCTCAACTTCTTTCTCAGTCACCCTCTGAAGGCCATCTTCATTCACAGCCGTCTGAGGATAGAGGCTCTCTTCTCTGTTAAATTTTTCAGACAAGCTTGTCTCCCAAATTGTGTTCTGCTGACGCCCTCTAAATGGCAAATGGTTGACCAGCTCACCTGCTGGGCTGCCTGTCGGTTTTACAGGACTACAAAAGAAAGGAATCAAGTCATGCATAACAAGACTTCTGCCCTTTGCATTTCTATTGCTCTAGAAAAAAGGGCAATTTTCCCTTTAGGTATGATCTGTAATTCAAAGACTGTTTGAATTTGAAAGAGGCACTAGCTATTTTTAAGAACAATCTTCTGTCTAATTCAGTTAAAAAGGAAAAAAGACCAGGCTAAAGACTCACTCACACAATGTGGAATGAGAATCATTTCCCAGCAGTGACTGCTTTTGTGGGTATTGAACTGGGTTACAAGGTGAACACCTGCAAGCAGACAACTAATGCTAGTACAACAATGAATGGTAACTTCTGCTGGGTGGAACTGCATGTTAAACTCCCAAAACTCATTTGCGAAGCATAACCTGTATCTGACAGTTCCAGGGCCTGCGCTCTAGACGTAAGAGCTGGAGCACAACAGAAAGCGGTACGGAGCACAGGTTAGCAGAGAGTCACAGGGAGCAGAGGAAGCGAAAGCGATCACTTCTCAGACTGTGGGAGTTGGAGAGCTAGGTGAGGATGTGGCCTGAATTCCCAATACGGGGAATATCTGATTCTGTTCATGAGCCCCTGATATCAGCTGCAGGCTGGGAATGCAGAGATCCTAGCTGCAGTAGGACCGTAGAGAGGACACTCTTCCAAATGATTTGACAGACAGGACATTGCTGCCACCGTTGCTGCTTATCACAAAGTTGTTTGAGAAAGTCTGATCTAAACGAATTATACTGTATATTCATTTTACAAGTCACCACAAGCACCATAACATGTCAGTGTAAAATATAACAAAATTTCAGAATTTAATTAGGCAAAAAGACAGATGAGTGATTTAGTAAGCTGTTGTTCACAAATAGTTAATGGACTTCAGTTATTACAATCCTTAAAAGATATATTCTGAAATAAATACCTTTCAGGCTCCATTTCAAAACCTCTGGCATTACATGAATCTCCTTTAATCGGTTTCATGAATTCTTCTACAGTAGGTAAATCTAATAAGGGCAAAATAATAGAATAAATTAAACATCTTATAAAATGCATTTGTAAAAGGCTAATAAAGATATTTAATAAACAGAATATTAAAGATATCAGTCCTTCACTCATTTTACATCCTTGTACCATACGTATCTTCCTTCTAACCATTCTGAGACTGTCATTACTGAAACACGCACTCATTTTACATGCTTGCAGAATATATACCATTTTTTCAATTTTAAACTAATACAGAGAATGGAATCAATGTATTGAATATGAATGATTTGCTTGGTTTAGTTTCAACATTTTCTGTTTGATACCCATTCCATCATCACACCCCCCCCCCCCCCCCACCCCCCTAACCCACATTTTTTTCTCATATACACCTTCTCCTCTGCGGTTCCTTAGCAATGTAATCAGAAGTACTGGAGCTCTTTTTAACCTAGATAGAAGACTATGAGAAAATAGCTGGGAAATCACAGCTTTGTCTTCCTTCAAGACATTTACCTGATTCAGTAGTTGACATATTTTTTGAATAGATGTCATTATTCTGTGAAACACTTTGCACTAAACATTCTGAGACTGCCGTTGCAGAAGCATGCACTTTTAGCTCATCAGTGTCTCCCAAAGACTGATCGATGTGATGATATGCCTGGTGTAGTGCTTCAATGTCGCTGGTAGTTTGTCCATAGGAAGAGCCTGCAAAAAATGCAGGCTCATAAGAGATACTATAGAATTTTCTGTTTTGGGAAGCAGCAACTCATTGGAGTCCATATTTCAGTTACTAGCTTTGTCTATTATCAGGTGAGAATAACATTTTCAATGCTGAGAAAAAAAATAACAATAACAACAAAGATCTAATTTCTACCATAAATTATGGCAGTTGTCTTGTTAATCCATACATGCTACAGTACCTGAGACTGTCTCATCTACAGCTTGCACGCATTTGTTTACAAATACATCCTCATTACTAAAACTAACAGCATATGAGACCATTATTTTAATAGATGCCATCAGAGTCACACTCTGGATGTAAATGGGGTACCTTCTCAAATTGATCTTAATACACTAGTTCATTTTACAATAGTGTTCAATGCTGTCAAAGCAGAGTTTTGGCCATGGTCAAGAAGAGAGGGAAACCGCATTCAAGTCATGTACAGATTGCAGTGTCAAAAGAAACACTTATGGCAACTAAGGGTGAAAGGGTATCTTTCTGGCAGCCTACAGAAATACTGATTTTCCCTGAAATATTTCCTCCTCAAGATTTTTCAGTGAACACAGAGTGTTTAATTTTTACTAACAATCTAAAAATAAATGACCTTATTTCACATTGCTAATACTCCAGAGCCATCTGTGGCTAAAGTATTTTTTTTTTTTTTTTTTAGAAAAAGCAACCTTACCTGTTTCATTCATTTCAATTCCCGTAATTTCTTGAGGCAGGTAACGCTCACCTAGAGCTACATCTGATGTTTCAGTAGCCTTCTGAATTTCTGTAGTTGAATCTTGTGAATCAAGTAATACAACTAAAAGCAAGAAGATTAAGGTTAAAGTTCTCTCATTTATACTTTGTCTACAGTGGAAGCAGGAGCATATCAACGCTCATCTTGATGCTCTAATCCCGGAAGAGTGTTATACAGATTATTCTGATGCCATTAATGGCAGGAACTCTGACTGCAGGCATCAAATCTGAATACTGACTAGATGTAATAAAACAAAAAACTACATTGATGATTACCACGAAGTGCTGACATGCAGATTTATTTTTAACCACTTCAGGCAACGGACTTTCAGTAGAACACAATAAAATTAGAAGGGGAAAAAAAAATAATCGAAGTAATAAAATCAGATAAAAGTTTCAACAAGGTAGTTAGTATTCTCCTAATGATTAAAGTTTGTATTTTACCTTTAGCCAGCATGCCAGTGTTTGGTTCCTAAAGAAGAAAAAAGTAGTATTACTTTTTGAATTTCCAGAAAAAAATATTTCCTCAACAAACTTTAAAAGTTGGTCCAAAAACTAAGAACTAATGCAGCTTTTAGCGCTCCAAGAATCCGCATGTCTCTAAAACTCTGCTTGGGATGCCAGCAGGTCCTCAACATCCTGTACTCTGACATCCCTCTCTCGATGTCTCCAGTCACTGAGGGGCATCCACTGCAAAAGACCAGACTAAGCTAGTCTGTAGTAATATCCCCAAAGCTCTCACAGTGTAAATATCAGGTCCTCTGTCCCAACTCTTTCTCCCTACAGATCCGCTTCTATTAGGCTGTACCACTTGCTGGTATAGATACCACCTCACTAGCTCCAAAGCAAGAGATTAATCACTCCCATCCTGAGGCTCCAGTCAGAGCTCCTTGTTTCTGTGATACTGCCTCCAGTTCTTAATGCAAAGGATGAGTAAGCTGGCAGCCCTGTGAAGAACTTGATTCTTTCAGTATCAGATCACTGGGAAGTATATGCTCTTAACAGAACAATACAGTCCCAGGAAAGTTATACCTAATTAAGTTTAAATCAACTTATGATTTCATGTTCTGATTTACCTGACTTCCTTCAGTTTTAAAGGCAGGATTAACATCCGTCTCCTCTTCAAAATCTTCACTGTAGCTGCCTGAAGGGTAAAATAAAGCATCAAATAGAGTGAATACTTAAAGATGATAAAGCAATAAAAGGGAAAGCTATTTCCTCTTGTTCTCCAGTCCCTCCACTAAAAACAGCTACTGCTGCTACTACTCCTTTCGTAAAGGCAACAGAAAGGTTTTGAGGTTGTGCGAGGTACGAAAACCACAGTAAAAGTCACACACGCCATCTCCAAATTCAAATAAAATTTGTCTTATGGTCTGATATATCATACCTCCAAGCCCTCATGACCTCCTTGCATTGACCCATTTTGTTCAGTCACTCTCACTTTGAGGAGAAATGATGCAATTTCCCCCCAATGCGGGTACTCTGTATGCCTGTCTTGACCCATCCAGCAGTTTTTAGGCTCTGAATCTGCAGCTTTGCTCCCTCTGACTAGCTTCAGTGGCCAAACACCCACTCTCAAGAGTTAGTATTATTTAAAACCCAAACATACCAGAAAAGGAATGTTGCAAATAAGCCAAATGCTTTTCCTACAGTTACCTAAATCCTTGACCTCTCCCCCACTCAGCTCCCATGTTCTCTGGCTTCCATGTCTGTAACCCTTAAACCTGGAAGCATTGCCCAACACTAGCTTATAGCACCTTGGTGTCAAAATACAGGAGGAAAACAATTGACACATTGTCTTTCTAATGCACGTGTAAACGCTATATTACAAAGAGCCACTGTTTCAGCATTCTCTTAGGTTTTGGACTGTGAGAAGTTTGATCAGGGTGTTCACATAAGAAAAAAAACCTCAGCATGTAAAATAGCTTTCTTGCACTGACTTAGACATCCATGGTGCTTATACCACTCCTGAGCATGTATTTTTACTAATTTCACTTATAATTCATGAAATAGCAGTTTAGCAAGGCAAAAAAAAACCCAGACCCCACTAACTACACAAAGTTAGTAATTTCAGGTACTTACTAGAAATGAAAATGTTTTCCTAAAAATCAGAAGTGTCAGTTTCACAACACTGACTACAACAATCTCATTGCAACTGTTTTGTTTAGAAGAAAGTTACAAAATTGCTGTGGTATTTCTGCTGCAACTATCAGGATCACTAGTCATCTACACAGTAATCAGATTTCATGGAGAAAAGATTTCCTGCGATTAAAGTTTAGAAATATAATCTTTTAATGTTTGGGAAACTCAAGACTGACAATAAGATCTCTCAAAAATTCAGCTTAATTTATAATTTTGAAAAGACAATTTGTTTCTTAAAATTACGAGAATAAACTCTTTACCGTATATTAAGAGGGGAGAGTGGAATAAGGAGAGAGGACAAATGAAAGACAGAAGGGCGATGAGAGAAGTGCAGCATGTGAACAGTACAGAGGAAAAAAAGGACGAGGAAAACTGGGAAAAGAAGATCAGGTAGAGTAATACTGCAGAATACAGAAATTAAACCTAGGCATGAAAACAGGGGGAAAAAAAATAAGAAAGATGATAGAGTTAAAATACTAGGAAAAAACCCAAACATTAAGAGGTATTTCAACAACATGGTAATTTTTCTTCAGTTTTTGTTGGACAGCTTTTTTTTTTTTTTTTTTTTACTGTTTGTCTTTCATACGTTAGTCAATAGATTAAAAAGATATTCCACACACAAAAAAAACCCAAACCCACCCAAACACAACCCTCTCTCTTCACACCAGCTGCACAGTCATAATACAAAAGCAGACAAAAATATATAAGAGCTGCAGACAAATGCAAGTCATTACTGTGAAAATTACATTAGCATTCAGATACAGTGTCACCACAATGGTCAAGGTGATATGGAAACAGAAGTCAACTGGTTTAGATATTACTCGGAATAGAAAACTTCAGAAAAATCAGAAGTTCAGCGAGGATATGCTACTGTTCTGTCAATCTGAAACCTAGGAAGAGTAAAGTTTCCGGACTAGTTCCAAAGGCAACACAGAGTAGAGATTAACCTATGAGATTGCGGTGTGATTTCCCCTTTCCAGGCCTTTAAATTGCACCCCACCATGGTGTATCCTCTGCTGCCCTGCTATGAAATTTTCTGAAGACTCTGCACTTTGACTGGAGCACTATGCCTCAGCTTTCATTTTTGTTATTCAGTTTAATGAAGTTCTCCCAAGTCTTAGCATACACATGGTAAAAATATGCAAGAAATTTCAAGTGTGTGATTTAAAAAGATAGCATTACCAGATTTTTCTTCATGTGCGGATTCCTCTTCTCCTTTTTCAGTTGTTTCATTTCTGAGAGAAATGAAATTAAAATATTACTGTCCCTTCCTAGACAGCAAAAAAATATTTTTTAGCCCATAAAACATTGATTTTTTTTAAAATTAGCAATAAAATTAAAAAATTGAGTTTTTCCATCATATCAAAACGTAGGAAAAAAAAAAAGGCACATAACATCAGTAGTGATTAAAAGAAGTACTGATGTTTTTATAACTATCCATAGTTAAAATTGTCAAAGCAACTCCTAAAGCCTTCTCCTCTCTGCGTTCTCCCTTACATCTCAAAGGAAGCTTCATCACACGTTCACTTCTGACCCCGTTGTTCTGTTTCCAAAAATCTCTCCTTTATCTCTCCTTTTCCACTAAAGCTAAAGTTTTCGTCCTCAGTTAAAACACTCCAGAACTCTGACCCTCCAAATACTCTCATGTTGGAATTTTCCTTTACACTTTTACTCTTTTCTAGTGACGGCAGCCTGAACCGTCCATTTGTCCATTATTCTTACAGATTCTTGTCTGAACTTATTTACTGATTACAGATGGATTGCCCTAGTCTGTGAAGACTATTTTATATTGTTCTTCCAGATTCCTTCGTTACATCATGCCTTCAGGGGTACAGAATTCCTCCTGATCTACTACCCAGTTATTACCGGTAGATAATTATAAGGTGTAATTAAAAAGAGTTAAGAATAAATGTCACATTAACTTGAAATTATCGAGTTGTGCACAAAGCTACGTAGGCATGTTCATTCAAAGAGTCGTGCTCTCACCTTACTCCTGTCTCTTATTTATTAAGCTCGCTTCTGTCCTGTGTTACAGGAAAAGTGGCTTTACCGACTGCAATCATACCGGATCTTGTCCCATAAAAGTCTCAGTGACCATGGCATTCAAATCTCCAAATCACACATGCCCATGAATAAGAGCCTGTTACTTTTCTTCACTCTAATTACCGTACAAATGGTGCTAGTATTACAGAATCATTGGAATCCAGCTCTTTATTTAATCTTGAATAATCAATAGTAGACGATGCTTCTTGTTCAAGTTTGGCAAAGAATATTTCTTTTTCTTCTTGCTCTTCCAAGGTATCCAATCCAGCTCCCACCATACTTTGATTAGGCCCAGAAGCTACAAGTGAATCTAGATTTCAAAACACAAAACAAACTAATCATGACTGTATAGTACATCTACAGGGAACAGTCAAAATAATTAACTACCGCTAGATACAGCTCATAAAATATTAGGAGTATCAAATATCACCAGGAAGCATCAGGAGCCATCAGTTCACTAGATGCAACGGATAGAAGTGAAGAATCCCGGCTTCCAACACGTTAATGAAAATGGTTTGTAATAACTTGCCTAGGTCTAGCTAACCTCATGAAATGGTTGCTCTCCGTTCTCACCGTTTGTCTCCAGGCTGTCTCGACTTAAGGAGACAGAAACCCCAGTACTTTTCTGAAAGGGTACGTTTTCTGCGTGCGTATTCTCATCAACGTCGCCCACAGGCTGTGAAGTCTTCTGTAGCTTGACAAAGCTCCCGTTGCTTCCAAGCATTCCTAGAAAAACAGCTGCGATATTGCTGACTGTACATCTTTGCAGGTGCAAAACGAGATTAAGGCTAGGGGTTCTGGAACATGACTAAAAGACTGAAGTGTCATATAAATAGTTTTTAGATGACAGTCTCACAAATCACATTCACCTAACTTTTGTTTCTCCTATGAGACATGTATCCCCTGCTTAATTATAGTCTTTTTAATTACTGTTACATACGTTTTATTTTTAACCTCCGTATTTGCACAGAAGCCTGAAGTTTAGCATGGGGAAAACATAACATTTGGGAAAACTGACTTGAAGACAATCACACAGAGAAACCCTGTATATAAATCAATATTTCTTGTTTGAATGCAAATTAAATACTTCAAGGAAGTATTTAAAAAACGTAACCAAAATTACAAACATGTAACTTCAGCTTTTCCAAATTACAACGTGCAGTTGCTTCTATTAAGATGATTTCCTTGTTGCAAGACTATTATTACCTTAGTAAATAACTTTGTGTAAGGATTCTACTCTCAGTCAGAACACTGCATTAAAGACTTCCTTTAGGAAAAACTAAAAACTAAGTACTGCAGTAAATTACCAGTTAAATAAACAGTACCAAGTCCCTTTTGCTTGTCCCTAGAACACACACTTTTAGGCTTAGATTCTTTAGAGGGGCTCTTAGGAGAATGGCTGGAAGAAAAGCTGTTCGTGCATTTTATCCAACGACTAATAAAATGATTTAACAGTTCTCACAGGAGGGAGCAGAAATCATGTTTGTCTTCTCCAAGAGGAATCTCCTGTCAGTAAAATGCACTCAGACTTGCTCTCGCTCTCTGCCAAATGATGTTTACATCGAAGCTGCGTCCTTGTGCAAAATGTATCAGGAGGGGTGCAGATACTAACAAAAACGCATTTCTTGGTGGCAAGCGATTGCAGGAGATGCACACATCAGGAATCCTTCACGTGAAGGAAACTAAACGAGTCTTCCACATGCTGGTCAAGCACTTTACCTCAAAGCTGTTACATACATGGAGCACAACTACTTTCTCTTCTATCGTTAAGTACAAGTCCAACTCGGTTCCTTTAAACAAATGCTTTTTTTGCCTTTATCTTAATAACGGAGGGCCCTCTCCTTGCTGTACTAAAAAGTGAGGGCAAGGTTAAAAGCCGCAACACATTTTCTCCTCATTTTTCCCTAACGGCCACTGCTTAGCACGTGCATTCCAATTTTAAGAGCCTACTTGCTAAGCAGCAGAATAGTTTGTTTCTTGCCTTGCAATGCCAAAGTCCCTTACACATCGTATCGGCAGCCTAGGTGCATACCATTTTACACCTTGTAAGTGACTTGCACGTTGCTGTATCCAACGTTAGCTTCTTTCCCCCTGTACAGAGCTCTGACTCTCCTATTACGTTAAAAGTTAAAGTCAAAGACTTAGGTTCAAGCTTTGCATCTATACAAAGCTAATTCCTAAATAAAAAACACTTTGCTATTATAGTTTTCAGTGTAAAACAGAAACTCAAAGTGCTGTAAGAAGTGAAAAAGCAGAAATAATTCTTTTCTCTTCATTTCCAGCAGAAGTTATAAAGACAGCAAACAGGAGTCTGTTCTCAGCTGGATCAAAAGTTTATTTTAGAACTTCCAATCAGCCAGAATCCCACTGAACCTATTTTTAAATAGGAATATATTAGCAGAGTCTAAGACTAGCTGGCACTGCCCTTCTACATAAGATTTACAAGAAAGCAGATGGGAATACAACACAGTATGAAAGCCAGCTAGAAATTCTGATAGAATAATTTTTTTTTTGGAGGGAGGAAGCAGAGAGAAGGAAGGAGGGCATTTTCGTGAGTTATTTTATTTAAATCATCTCAGTGAGCTTTCTGACACTGAATTTCATTGATCTTTGAAGGTTCCATGGGATTTACATGCTATCTAATATTTTTAAGTAATTTTTTCCAGTTCAGATCAGACCAGAGCTTTTTAGAAAAGCATCTCCCACAACAATCTGAAAACGAAAAGTCGTTCTTCACCCAGCTCAACCCAGCCACTCCTAATTCCCATATACGCTCTTCTACGCGCACATTACAAAGGATACTACTGTTGCTAATGAAGGCAGGAACGATTTTAACCAGCCTTGCTCAATGTGTACTCTGAGAAATCCATCTAACTTGGAAAAAATATCGACTCGGATGGACTGTAGAATCTATATTTTCACTGTGTTTTTTGGCTATTAGAACTGTCCTACTGACTTCTGAGGGACTTGCTAGAGTGGTTTATTTTACTGGGATATTTGTTACTTATTACGAAAAGAAGTTCTTGAAGGAGCAGCTTCCAAAGATTTCACTGCCCATATCTTCACATTGTCAATTACTGTAATATTTTGCAAGGCTCAGCATATATTGTATTCTTCCTTAAAGTCCTGCTCCTTGAAATCAATTAAAATAAGAGCCTGAGTTTCATTCAGAAAGATCTTTCCAACCATCACAGTTTGCAGATAAAAGTTCAAGAATATGAATACAAAAGAACCCAAACATTCAGTTATGACAACAAATACCTGTTTAAAAGGTAGCTTTTTCCCCTTAACTTGGCCAGGGTTTTCAGAATTTAGCAATTTGAATTTTGTCGTATTAAAAAAGGTACAGTAAGTTTGTTACCCTCAGAATTGTCTGGACTGTCAGAAGTGAGGTTTCCTTCTTCGTTTAAATACGCATCTTTCTTGTCCATATGAAATTTCTCCAACATTTTGAATTTGGACAAAGCCTTGCTGCGAGACGCACTGGAAGAAGGTTTAGGGGGAACTACTTTTAAGTGTATACAAAACATTTAGGAGTATTTGTATACAATGGACAGGGAATAAGGAGAAAAATAAGATGTGAGAATTCAGATGACCACTTCTGAATAAGCAATACAATCCAGTTTCTTGTAAATTGAATTATCTACAACTTTGTAGCTATATCCAAGACTTTAAAAGTCATTCTCAGAAGTGATAAGTTTTTTTAAAAAAGATAAATGACTTCTTACTCCATAAATACCTTGTGTTTAAATACGTTATTCTGGGAGTTCAATGTATTATCTGAAGACAAAGAAAACTAATACTGATACAACTACTGCAACAATAAAAAATTCTGTACTAAAAGTGTTCAAAGAAAGCATCTAGGTCGGTTCAAATAAAAGCAGAAAAATTTAGGTAGATAAAATGTGAATTACTACCGTCTCTATCACTGTCATTTACAAGAACTGCATATCAGTTGCTTAAACTCTTGTTAGGGCTTCCTTAATTGCCACTGAAATCAAACACCTTCCATTCACATTAGTGGAATTTAATTCCAGATAATAGTACCTCTGCCGAAAACTGCTTCCTCCTGGGCCCTAGATGGTATTCACAGTACACGCTTTACCTGCGTTACGCTAGCCAGCTGCACGGCATGAGGCTTTTCACTGTCCAACCTTCAAAGTCGGGAGGGCAGGAGGCCTCCAAATTGGCCAATTCAGAGCAAGGTCTTAGTTACAGGCCTTCTGAATCTGCCTTGACATGGGAGAGAGCAAAGGGTGCCCAGGGAATCTAGCCCACTACTGCTGCTACCTAGAAACAGGACGATGGGAAGACGTGACCAGAAGCTAACACAGCTCAGAAATACGCAAGATGACTGAGGAAGCTGATGAGCTAGATGCGAGCTGAAAGAGAGAAAGAGAAGAGGTATGAAACTCTTCCTGATCGAATGCATGTGTCCTTTATTCCCTTGACCAATGTCCAAGTCCAGTGAAGTATCGCTCACGTGGCAGTTTTTTATTCTGCCACATTTACTGGCAAACTAAAAAGGTTGACAGCTTGCCTTTCATGAAAAATAATGCAAACAGTAGATTACCATTTAAAAACGACAATTTAAAACGTAATTGCCAAATTCTTCCTATTGCTCATATTCCAAACGTTAAGCCTAGTTTGAGAAATAAACACTAACACTGAATCTAGCTCTCAGACCGAGATGCTTTACAATTGTTCTATGGGAATGAGGCTTCTGAAAACAGGACAGCACGTACTCTCTAGAAAGCTAACATAAGGGAAACGTTCTATAGGCTAAGGAGCCATCAACGTTACTCTAAAGACCAAGTGCCAAATATTTCTTTGTCATGGTTCTCCAAAATATTATTGGATCTGCTTGACTTTCAAACCAAAGTCACATTCAACCTAGTACCTGCTACGTTAATCACTGATGTCACTTACACAAAAAATATTTCATAGAGCAAAAGTTATAACTCTTATTCTCTTCGGATAGCATTAAAAATGACTTCATATACAATGCTGAATCTAAAGATACATTAACTAAAAATCACCCTGCAAATTAGATAAAACAACTTAATTTGTCACCATTACATCTACCTCAGTGTTCCCATTCCAGGGGCAGCATGCACACAGCAGCCTACTGCTCAGCAGAGGGAACAGAAGCGCATCAACAGCAAATACACAGAACACTTGTCTAACTGGAGGCGTTGCGCTTATACACATAGAACAGAAAACACTAATACTTCTTCCGTTGGAAATACAGAAAACTTAAGAGATTTTCTGTATATTACTTTACTAATGATATTGAACTTTTAGATTTTCAGAATTTCCCCCCTCCTGCATCACTGTAGGCAACGACGACAGAACAAAAGTTTACAAGACTTGCTCAGGAAGAGCAAATGGAAATGACAAAAGAAGTAACTGGCAGCTTGCTTTTATAAGAACATTAGGGTCAAATGGACTACGTAAAAAGGATTTTCTAAAGGAAACAGAGCTAACACATATTTAATCAAATACCAGACTGGAAATCTGAATGGGGAATCTTTTGTTCATTATTTCCAACTGTTTCAGCATGGCTTTCCATCATTTTCTTCTTTTTTCCCAGTTTAACAAATCTGGTCTGAAAATCTTGAAGAGTAAGACAAACAGCAAGAGTAGATAAGCAAGCAAGACAGAACAGGAATTCTTATTATCCAATTTCTTTTTATCATTCAAATGAAAAAAGCAAGTAGAAAGGATATTAGAGGTCAGTCTTTAACCTATCAAATATGGAAGGCACTATCTTGAATCGTAATTTACACACCTAATTTAAACCTGAAGAAACAAGAGCTCAAACATGCCTAGAATGACAAGTTTAGTTATTTTAAACTGTGCTTTACCCTTCTCAGCCAAACAAACGGAAACGGCCTACGCTGTTTACCGACAATCTGTAAAACCAAGTGAAAAGTGACTTCATTTATAAATCTCAACTTCTGCAATGAGATGCTTTGGAAGTAAGAATCAGATAACAAGCGCGTAGTATATATTTAGTCTTCCACTCATCTCTCATGTCATTGAAGAAAGCATGATACCTACTGAAGTAGGTCAAAACGAGAACTTCAGACGGGAAACAACATACCAGCGTAGTGCATTCTCAAGCTAATTAGCCAGACTTTGTACTGTAATTCTGTAAGGACCGAAGTAGTACTCTGTATAGCGCAATCCAAACAAATCAATTCATCTGGAGTTAGCTCAAGTGCATTTAATGCAGTGCTTCACTGGAGGTAGAAGTAAAACTTAAATATTTACATGAGTTTGATCCATGATGACAAAGCACTTTGAAAATAATAATTCTAGTACCTCAAGCTCTCAGCTAGCAGAAGCTTAATGTTGCAGATCTGATGTAAAGAGAGTTTCTGCAGGCTTTAATAAGAATTCTGTCTGCAACCGACCTGGAGGGTCAGGCCTAGGTGGATACCAGATCTCCACAGAATTTTAAAGAATGCTGATTTAAAACTCTTTAGAAATTAAATTCAGCTTGTTTCCATATTTGTTACCACCACAGCAGTATTATTTCTTTTTCAGCAGGCCACGTTTAATAACCTTACGAAAAGCTATACAACTAGATCACCTTTTCCTCAGTTCATCCCTCACAGCATCTTATGCTGCTATGATGCTCTGCCTTCATCCATTATTAACACGTCACAGCAACATACTACGTAACATATACCTGCTGAAGAATATTAGACCTAGCAAAACTGTAAAAAAATTTTACAAAGTAAGTACTCACTCAGAGACAGAGATGAAAAAAGGACAGTTCCAGAGGCATAGCTAAACTGAATGACTTGCAGTCACCTGAGGTGTCATTTCAAAATGCTGCAGGTGTATCTACATGAATTTAAATCATAGCATGGCTTGCAGTGTGAAAACACACATATAAATCCCCTCTTATGTATGGAATTCATCATTCTTAATTACAACCACATAAAAGTTATCTACTTTTATAACTTCAGAGGGAAATTCAGTTTATACTGAATAGTTTATACTGAAGAGGCCAAGCTGGCTTCTGCAAATGGCTCTGCTGACTAAGTGAACTTTCTGACAGCTACGCTGTCTTTCTGCTGTGCTTTCTGACAGTTAGTAAAACGGCCTTCACCATACTACAGGTTGCCTCTATGCTACCTAATTTCTAATCTATCACTGTACAAGCTGATAGAACTAGTAATTACTACCACTTCTGAGTGCCCAGGATGACAACTACAGCCCTTTCCTCATGCGATCGTGCAATCAGGAACTCTGCTTCATACCACAGAGTCACGCTCTTCTGCTAAGATAGCGCCTGAAAAGACCTCTGGGAAAATTTAATGGCCTCTCTGCCATCCCACCGGGGTAGGATATGTCTCCCTGTTTATGGCACACAAGTGCAGAAGTCTATGCATGTATGGGCGATGAACAGAAGAGTAAGTGAAATAAAACTAAATCTGGCTGGCCAAACAGCACTCAGGGAAACTTCAGAGCACAGTTCTAGCATATTTGCTACTGACTTATTCCTAACGGTCATGTGTATCCTCAGTTTTATTCTGTCAAACTGGCAAGATAAGCCAGATCTTTGATTCAAAAAGCTTTACATATAGGTTACTTTCAACTAAGCTCTAAAAATGAAATATATGAACAGGTTACCTTCTTTTGCAAGTAAATGGATTCTGCATTGGCAAAACTGGGTAGCCTCACCTAAATATTTTCCAGTTAAAGGGGAAGGTTGTTTAAAGAGAGACCTTAGGAAGTTTACTGGAACTTGTTTTTATTTTATATGTCAATGAACTGCAGATCAAACATGTTTCACTTCTCATAGCTTTTCCTCTACCTGCCAGCCCTGGATTTTAACTATTCTTTTAACTATGAGCAGTCCAGACAATACCGAAACACCTATCAAGCATATGCCTACACGGCTCAACTGCTGATTAAGATTTGGCTTCTAACTATGACAACAGTGACAGGACAGATCTAGTCGTAAAGTCAGACACTACCAGCAGTATCTTTAACTTCATCATATGAAAAGCCCATTTATGGAACATAAATGCAAACTTTAAGTTATACAAGTCATGAAAATAAGAGGCCACCAATTATTGCAAGAACAAGGGGTGATCACCCTGTGAAAAAAAGAGCTACTAACAAGGTTACTAGCAAATAGGAAAACAGTGAGGAAATGGAAAACAAAGTGGAAAGCTTGCAAACAATATTACATTTTCTTCCACAACTACATGACCAAATAAATTTGAGAACAGACATATTTTTGAATCAAATGCTGTTGAAAACTTGTCTGTGCTTCCCTAACCTACTACAAATATAGTGATTAGCATAAGATTATACAAGCTGTCTCTAAGATTTTTTTTTTCCCCTTCCAGTTTTTAAAATGGATAAAACAAAGATTGGTTACAAAATACTTGTACTAATATTTCCACTAGAGTTTACAAGTTACATTTTCTAAGTTTTTTTATTATTTATAAGGTATTCACTTTAATAGCTTGAAGGCCAGAGAAAAAATAGCAGAAAGCTTGCTTACAGCCTGATCTCTTTCAAAAAGCACAATCACATCTCAGTTTTGTAATTTGCAAACTTGTAATGCGCTAAAGCACTTTGCAGGGTATTGATTTAACCTAAAAGCAAGCACATATGAAGCAAGGACTAGTCTGACATCCTGTGGCCAAAAAGTTGCATAACTACAGTATTTACCAACATCATCAGAGTCTTCCTCAGATATCCACCATGGCACTGAATCTTTTTTCTTTGATTCTTTTTTCCTGGGCTGTCCCAGTGTCTCAAGAACGCTGGATTTTTTCTTTGAACTTCCAAGTGAATCATCTGAAAGAGACTGCGTAAATTGCGTACAAGATTAAAGACAGCTTTTACATTTTCACATTGTTTAACTGTCTTTTAGCTACTCACTTCCAGGCTTCTGAGTTCAGACGTTTGCCTTTATTCTCCATTGTCTGACCTTTTTGTATATTCATAACAAAACTGTGCTAGAGATAATATCTGTATTTATATAACACTGCATACAACATCTCTGCCGCCTGAAGTTGAATGCGTTAGAAGTTAACCACCCAGCAGAGTATACGTTCATTCAAACATGCACTCTATTCTCCTAATTTGTTACAACATGTAAAAACTCGATAAAATCCTGTCCTTATAAGCATATAGTAGAGCAGAAACCGTTTTGTTTGGCCTGACTTTGTAAAGGACAACACTATGAATATTCTAAAAGTCAACCTTCTCAAGGAAAATTCCAGCTCCCAGAAAGTCAGAATTCAGAAATTCACTCTGTACTTTTTATGCTTATGGAAATTAATAGAAATGCCAGGGGCATTCCTCCCTGACTCTGCTTATTATGCTTTCATATGCACTTGTTAGCCACCTGTGTTTAAGCCATCAGTCACAATTAAGCACGGAAGGGTTTTTAAAAAAAAAAAAAAAAAAAAAAAAAAAAAAAAAAAAAAAAAAAAAAAAAAAAAAAAAAAAAAAAAAAAAAAAAAAAAAAAAAAAAAAAAAAAAAAAAAAAAAAAAAAAAAAAAAAAAAAAAAAAAAAAAAAAAAAAAAAAAAAAAAAAAAAAAAAAAAAAAAAAAAAAAAAAAAAAAAAAAAAAAAAAAAAAAAAAAAAAAAAAAAAAAAAAAAAAAAAAAAAAAAAAAAAAAAAAAAAAAAAAAAAAAAAAAAAAAAAAAAAAAAAAAAAAAAAAAAAAAAAAAAAAAAAAAAAAAAAAAAAAAAAAAAAAAAAAAAAAAAAAAAAAAAAAAAAAAAAAAAAAAAAAAAAAAAAAAAAAAAAAAAAAAAAAAAAAAAAAAAAAAAAAAAAAAAAAAAAAAAAAAAAAAAAAAAAAAAAAAAAAAAAAAAAAAAAAAAAAAAAAAAAAAAAAAAAAAAAAAAAAAAAAAAAAAAAAAAAAAAAAAAAAAAAAAAAAAAAAAAAAAAAAAAAAAAAAAAAAAAAAAAAAAAAAAGGTCTACAAGACCCTATCAATTTAAGTCACTGCAGAATAACAGCAGGGAAAACACTCAGAGACACTTCATACGACAACAGGGCTGTTCTGAAGCAATTAAAAAAAAAAAAAAAAAAAAGAGCAACCGCAAAAATCTCTACTCCTCTACTTCAAAAAAGTCCCGTGTCACTTACAGCAGGCTTAGGAGAAAAATTAGTTGTTCAGATACTGAATAAGGGAATACATTCATGTAGGAAATATATGTTAAGGTCAAGGTACACAGGAAGCCTGACATTTCCTGTCCTTTTCCTTCCTTGGCAGAAATCTGTATTCTTTTGCTACCTTCACTGCCGTCATCCAAGAGACTCCACGTTTCATTATTAGAATTGACTAAGCTGGTGCAGTGGGTTTTGTGCGCTACTTACTCCCCATGTTTTATCTCAGTAAATATTGAGTTAACAGGAGCAGGGATTTTTTGTTTTTATATGAGCTTTTTAGCCATAATTTTTGAAATCAATTGTCCTAAAGTGTCTTAAAGAACACAGTAATTAGCGTTAGCAAAAGCCACGCAGTGTAAGACTTTGTGACGCATTTACAAATGAAATGCATCATACTAGTAAACTTTATAAACTTCAAATTTATATTTTCTTACTTGTGGCTATTATAACAGTACAATCAGAATTTTAGAGGCAACAGAACTGCATGTACTTACTATGTAAAACCCTAAAGGATGCTTTATTAAAACAGTCCGCTGTAGTCCACTGCCTGTTTGCTGTTACATAACAATTATTAACATAAAAGTCCACCTTTGCTTTTTATCTAAAGCATAGGTTTACACGGGCCTAACATGAATGCCCATAAGTCAAACATGGATGATCTAAATTTACCATTTAAGAAAAGAATAATTCTAAAAAATTATATTCTTGCTAATAGCTCTGACCAATAACATCTTCATAGTTTATAGTTACACTGACAAAACTAAATCTCTCTGTCATACAGTCTCGGAAAGAAAATTTAAGTGCTCTAAGCCTTTCAATTTAATAAAAAAATAATTTCAGCAAATTATGAAGCTGCTAGACAACAGGATGTACTGCAACTTCTTGTTGCTGAGTTGGCTCAGTAACACACAACAAAACAGTTTTACATTTTTAACACACGCCCAATGAATAACAATTTCCTCATGCTGCCTCTTGCCAGCTAAGAGTACTGGCAGGTGCGTGACGCAAGTTCTGTTATCACTTGCTGTGCCTTTTACAACTAAAAGCATCTTCTACTCAGCAAGCAGAAATTAGATGATGCTCATACTCCTTAGAGTATCATAACTAAAGAAACTGAAACTCCCAAATGTTGCTCTTGAGTTCTGGAAACTTTCTATGTTCAGCCATCTTGTCATCTGCAAACAGTAAAGTTGCAGCAGCTGGGAAAAGAAATGCTGACACAAAAATACAAGCATGTTTTTCTAACATGTCAATTGTCTCAATAGCAAAACTTAGATTTTTATATACGATATATATGTACTTTTTTTTTTGGCCCAGTAATGGCTCATCAATGGCAGTAAGTGGCTCTGACTTCTTCCTTTCTCCCCCCCAGGTAAGAGTCAGCCTTGCCTTTCAGGAATAGACAAAAAATAAGGTGTCAATTGTTTAATCTACAGTTAAACAAAAGCAGAGAGAGTCACTTTTAAGGACTGGGACACCAACATAACACTTAATCAGCCTACCACCTCCTATACATATGAGATCAGTTAAGAAAGTAGATTAGCAAGTGCAGATCTAAAGCACGAAAACTTTCACGAATGGTTGACCAAATTATTACATGAAACAATTCACTCTTTTCCAAGAAAACAACTCTACTCCAAATTACATTTCTTAGTGTAAAATAATACTTTAATATATTTGATCTTAAAAAAAAGATAATATTTTTTCAAATATGGTTATGTCATGTAAGGATTATTCTACAGATTTTCTAATTAGGATGGTATAGCCTTTCCTTTTGAAAATCTCTCTTCTCACCTATCCATGCATATCATGGAATAGAAGCCAGCAAGTAGAACAACAGAATTCAACCAGGCAGTCTAGAAATAGATAATGGCTTTTTCAAAACTTTATTTGCTGATTTTTATGGCACTTCAAGCAAAGCAACTGGAGCACTGTACATCAAAGAACTCCTCACATAGCATCTCTCCAGGGAACTTCACAGCCAGCACTCAGAATGCTCATATGAGCTATATAATATGCAGAGACGATACCTAAGGGAAATTAAGGCAACACTAATGGAAGTACACTAAGGTAAACAGATTTGGGGAAGGAGATGGGGAGTAGCAGGACTACAGCTACACGGACAACAGCGCAGGAAGAAAACTGTGGATGACAACAGATTGTACTGGCACGCGTTGGGGAATAAGTGTAATCAGGTAGAATCATTAGAAGACCTAGTCTGTATGCAGTAAGTGCTGTTACACAGAAAGAAACCCAAATGAGTTACGGTAAAAGCCTAGAAAATCCTTTTCACTGACAGCTTCTAATGTTCAATGCATATTCAGACTTCTTCTGTTTCATCCTCATACTAGACATCTACAGTCTTTCATGTAACTTTATATGTTTCCACCTCAAACATATAACCACCCTTCCTGAACAACAGCAGTTTCACTAACCACAAGAATGAGTTATTTAGAAGGGAAAACCACCCTGCTCCTTTTCTTCTCCGAGAGATTCACTTAAACAATAGTAAGTCTTCCGCAAGCTATTAAAAAATATTTTTTGCTATCTTCTCCCCATTATAGTCTCATCACAAACACAACTTACGCAGCTATGCGTTTCAAACAACAGAGCACACCACCTTCTCATCTTTCTAATGTTAAAAGGCTGCATAAGTTAAAAAAAAAAAAAACAACAAGCAAAAGGAGGGGTATAATGGAAGATCGATGTGTGTAAAGCAATATGGAGTAGATGACAACATTGTTATTTGGGTCTGTAGCTAACTAGCAAATCATAAAACAATTTCTTGAATTGTTTAATGACTGGACTTATGCATTTAAGTAAGCTTAAGCAGTTTACAAACAGTTTTTGTTTGAAATGATAAAAAAAATTAACACATCAGTTATTAAAAGCTACATTCACTGAAAATACGCCAAATGTCAGTTAGGATAATTCAGTACAGCTATTTTGATTTTTTTTCCAACTCAAGTGTTCTCAATTTGACAATAATTGAGGAGGGAGAAGAGTATATCAAATGAAAAACAAAACATTAAAAGTGATCATATGCAGAGTTTTGACAAACGCAAAAAATAAATAAATCGGAACAATAGACCCCTCTCTTCTCCTCCCCAAAGCAACTGCCTTCAGAACAATAATAAGACGCTTTTGACAGAAATACAGAGCCAAGTGTTCCATGTTTACTTACATTAATAATTCCAGTGAATTCAAGAACATTATAATCAAGTCCGTCATCAACTTTAAGGCCTAACTCTACCTTTAAGTTATCAGTGTATCTTTCAGACAACATTGTTATTCTGCTCTCTCAGTTTAGTACTGCTCAGTGAAATTACACTTATTCCATATGTGCATCTCACTAGGTGCATGTTCAAGGCAGAGATACACACCTACCTGGGAAAGCTAAAAACTCTGTGAAAAAGAAGCCTCTGATTACTACAGTTCTCTACTACAAGTAGGAAATGTAATGTTTTTTTTTTTATAGGAGCCTGGTACCTGCATTTTTCACAAATAATAAAATTGTTTTGGGATATGAAGACTGTGCTACTTTTAGCATGCATTCATATAGCAGAGACCCAACTATACTCTTTGCTATCTTTAGCTACACCTATATACCATAGCAGCATCCAGTAAAGGTCCTAAATACATGGTATTTATCTCTTTGGCTTACCACACTGTGCATCAGACAGACCAGTGGGCAAGTCCCAGAATTACAGGTCTATATACAAAGGAAAAAAAAAATATATATATCAAGGTACTGCGTTCCGACCACTTCTGATAATTGCTAGCTTAAGTTATCATCCACATATTTGCATGACTTTGCCTTTACACAAGAACATCACATACCATCAGCAATAAAAGCATTCAGATTAAATGTTTCCAATCAGTACAGCGGACTTCATTTTGTTAGGATTAAAAGAAGAATTTTTACATGACTCAATTAAATTGGGTACTTCACAGAATATGGAAATTCTTAACGTAACTTGCAGCTACATACAGAAAAATGTTTTAATCTCATTACCTCTATTTTCACTTATTAACTCAATTTGAAGTCTCTGCTACTATTCCTAAGTAAAATACACATGGAATTAAATTAAAACAAAATCAAGACGGAAGTGGTCTTTCTGAAGAAATAACCCCGCAATAACAGAAAATTCATATTTAATCACAGAACTGTCCTCTTGATTTCAATACAGCTAAATAGTAAATTTTAAGTTTAGCAGTTAAGTTACGACCTTGCAAAGACCCACACGGAAGACAACTGTGTGAATTATATGCTAAAAGCACAGTTGTATCTTCTATTTCATACCCTCCCATAGTCAATTTTCTTCCTGTATTTTAATGGAGAAAAGGGAGAAAAGGTGACTTTCTTCTGAAACATACCTCTTTCAGAAACTGTTCAAATTGCTCATCTAATTCTTCTTTTGAAAGTCGATAAGCCATAATCTGCAACTAGATTTTACTTTCCGAACAACTGGGTTTAAACACTAAGATTTAAAATAAAAATAAAGTTAATTAAAAACATTCTGAAATTAGAGGCAGCCTAGTGATTTCCTGCTTCCACATGCAAACCTATATGAAAGATGCCAAATTCCAGCCTCTTCCCTGACCTTCCCCTAAATCTATATTATTTAGGGAAGGAGACAGTCAATGCCTGAATTGTCTAGATTCCTTCAAATCAAAGTACTAAATTCCAAAGCAACCGTTTCAGCATTTAAACTTTTTGAGGCAAAAACAATACAAGTCTATTCACCATTTTGACATTTTTCTTCAAAACGTAGCTCTTTTACCTACCAATAATTAAGAGCTCTGTCAATAACCAAACGAGAATACTGTAGTAATACTTCCTATCCATTTTAGGGGCTTTTAATTCCTTTCTATGTTTCTTCTCCTAAATTGTAAACATCTGGCACTAGAAGTTTTGTCTCATATTCTGTTATGCTTCGGACTCAATAAACAAAAAAATGCATTGAAGTCTTTAAGATTATAGAACTGTATTCAGTTTCAGCTGCACTGACACAGAAAGACCAACGGCCCTTGCCGCCTTCTCATACCTAAAAATCTGTACTGGTTATTCATACTGCTACATAGCTTTTGCATATCACAGTGCTAAACACATATTGCTACTTTCAAGAATGCATATGTACAGCAGCATTAAACTGCACTAGGATCTTCCAGGCTGAGAAGTGCTACGTAAACATAACAAGGCCAAACATTTGCAGAATGTTTTTATCATTAAATAAAACTTCTCCCAATATGGAGCCCCCTCAGTACACAGGACTGTTACCTACCTTGTAAATTGATTTTGACAGGCGAGTTATGACAACTGCTTCCTGTTTTCACTCCTTACTCATCCATAGACCACCCAGCACTTTGGCAGTACAAAAACAACAAAAAACAAACAAATAAAAAAAAAAAGCTTATAGCAGACTACCCAGACTTTGAATCAAGTAAGATATCCTTATGTAAGTACTTGGAAAATATCTCTGAAAACATGGTAAGAAGATTAAGAACATTACCCCGATGACACACGTAATCCAATATCCTTTTATATTTTTACATCAAAGAACACTGTAAACGCCGATAGGTCAACAATTTACCAGCTATGCCAACTACTTAAATAAACGGGGAATGTTTAATTCCAGGCTTGCCAGCAAAACAAAACTGATTTTCTTTTTAAACACCCACTTAAATGTCCACCTCACAATCCCAGGTCTTATAAAATTTAATAATATAAAGCTTTGCCTCTTTTCTTCAGAATTGCAACAAATACATGTCAGCTCATTTCTGTAACAAAAGACTATATATGAATGTATCCTTAATAAATATACTATACAGTCACACCTGTAAAACAGGAAGCTCGCAGAATACTTTGTAAGTCATAAAATGAAGTCAGTTGCCTGGGTACATACTCTATCAGAGTGCAGAAAGGAGGAGTTTTGGAAAGGTATGGCAAAACCACAGGAACTGAGGACAACTTACACAACCTTGCTGCAGGGGGGGGAAAGTTAGCATCTCTCACGTGAGCTCTGAATTATCCGCGGCCCCTGTACCAGCCCTAGGACCTGCCGTGACCCTCCGCTCCCCCTAAGCCACCTGCAGGGCTCGCACCAGGGCGCCCGAGAGGGGCCGGCCCTCCTCGGCTACCCCCACCGGGCGCCCGGCCCCCC